GTTTCCTGTTAAGCATTGACAGACACATCAGAGCCATGTGCTCCTCCAAGCGCTGCCTTTAATCTGATTTGATTTAATTCTCATTTAGAGAGAACAAAAAGGGAGACAGAGGTGCAGGGACGATGAGAGAAGAGTATAATATGTAATACATCACTGATCTGTCTCGTGTGTGTGTGTTTGATTCTGTCGGGTGTGTTTATGGTGTGTACACTTGTATCTCACAGATTAATGTAATTCATAATGCATTTCTAGGAGCACACAGGAACGAACACGCACACACACACACACACACACACACACACACACACACACACACACACACACACACACACACACACACACACACACACACACACACACACACACACACACACACACACACACACACACACACACACACACACATGCAGACCCATATAGCCCCATCAATACCTCCACATTTTGTATAGACTGAAGCCCATATAAATCTCTCTTATCTGGCCACACTGGCCTTATTTACCCATGGCCCTTTTCAGGAGCCCCATAACATTCTCAGTGGGAGTATCAAATCAAATCTGAATTCCGCCTGAAGGAAAAGCACACCTGCACAATTGGTGTCCTCCCAGTGGCAACAGAGCAGAGCTGAAGATGAATGAGTAGAAGTAGAGGCTTGGCTTAGCTTGGCTTTCTCAGAATACTGTAGGAGTGTAGGGAGTTTTGGAGGAAAGAGAGAGAGAAAGAGGGTTGCAGAAAGAGAAGGTTGTTTCTCCCTCTTTCAACAATTTATCAAATGACAGTCTTTCTTGTATTGTGTAATAGCAGCTTATAAAACTAGGATAGCATAACATATACAGTACCAGTCAAAAGTTTGGACACACCTACTCATTCCAGGGTTTTTCTTTATTTTTACTATTTTCGATATTGTAGAATAATAGTGAAGACATCACAACTATGAAATAACACATATGTAATCATGTAGGAACCAAAAAAGCGTTAAACAAATCAAAATATATTTTATATTTGAGATTCTTCAAAGTAGCCACCATTTGCCTTGATGAAAGCTTTGCACACTTGGCATTCTTTCAACCAGCTTCATGAGGTAGTCACCTGGAATGCATTTAAATTAACAGGTGTGCCTTCTTAAAAGTTAATTTGTGGAATTTCTTTCCTTCTTAATGCGTTTGAGACAATCAGTTGTGTTGTGACAAGGTAGGGGTGATATACAGAAGATAGCCCTATTTGGTAAAAGACCAAGTCCATATTATGGCAAGATCAGCTCAAATAAGCAAGGATAAATGACAGTCCATCATTACTTTAAGACATGAAGGTCAGTCTATACGGAACATTTTCTTGAAGTGCAGTCGCAAAAACCATCAAGCGCTATGATGAAACTGGCTCTCATGAGGACCACCACAGGAATGGAAGACCCAGAGTTACCTCTGCTGCAGAGGATAAGTTCATTAGAGTTAACTGCACCTCAGATTGCAGCCCAAATAAACGCTTCAATGAGTTCAAGTAACAGACACATGTCAACATCAACTGTTCAGAGGGGACTGTGTGAATCAGGCCTTCATGGTAGAATTGCTGCAAAGAAACCACTACCAAAGGACACCAATAATATGAAAAGACTTGCTTGGGCCAAGAAACACGAGCAATGGACATTAGACCGGTGGAAATCTGTCCTTTGGTCTGACGAGTCTAAATGTGAGATTTTTGGTTCCAACTGCCGTGTCTTTGTGAGACGCAGAGTAGGTGAATGGATGATCTCCACATGTATGGTCCCCACCGTAAAGCATGGAGGAGGAGGTGTGATGGTGTGGGGGTGCTTTGCTGGTGACACTGTCAGTGATTTATTTAGAATTCAAGGCACACTTAACCAGCATGGCTACCACAGCATTCTGCAGCGATACGCCATCCCATCTGGTTTGCGCTTAGTGGGACTATCAATAGTTTTTCAACAGGACAATGAACCAAGAAGGAGAGTGATGGAGTGCTGCATCAGATGACCTGGCCTCCACAATCACCCGACTTCAATCCAATTGAGATGGTTTGGGATGAGTTGGACTGCAGAGTGAAGGAAAAGCAGCCAACAAGTGCTTAACATATGTGGGAACTCCTTCAAGACTGTTGGAAAAGCATTCCTCATGAAGCTGGTTGAGAGAATGCCAAGAGTGTGCAACGCTGTCATCAAGGCAAAGGGTGGCTACTTTGAAGAATCTCAAATATAAAATATATTTTGATTTGTTTAACACTTTTTTGGTTACTACATCATTCCATATGTGTTATTTCATAGTTTTGATGTCTTCACTATTATTCTACAATGTAGAAAATAGTAAAAATAAAGAAAAACCCTTGAATGAGTAGGTGTGTCCAAACTTTTGACTGGTACTGTATATATATATTTTTTTTTTTTACTGGAAAACATCTCAAATGTTGTCTATTACTAAAATACAGAAGTATGTTAACTGTACAGTTGTGCCAATGTTTTAACTCATCTGTTTGGATAATGGTCAAAGGTCTGTACTGAGATAATGATGGCAATCCACAGTCCTGAGTAGACTATTACACTACATATTGTGTACTGGGACTTTAAAACAGTCATATGGATATATGGTCTCACACTAAAACCATTACTCATGGTTACATCTCCTGCTATCCTTATTCATTTAATAAAACATGCCATTTCTCATCCTCTATGAGCTGTTCATAGAGTCATTTTCATATCCTTAGCTCTCTCTCTCTCTCTCTCTCTCTCTCTCTCTCTCTCTCTCTCTCTCTCTCTCTCTCTCTCTCTCTCTCTCTCTCTCTCTCTCTCTCTCTGCACTACAGATAAACTAATGCCCCACTAAGATGATTTTCTAAGCTATGTTGGGGAAAGAACATTACTCTCAGGGTGAGTGGTGAAAGCGGTGAATAGAGAAGTGTTTATTTTAAACGATGAACAGAAACTTAAGTGATATATGTCAAAGGAGCTGGTGTTATACTGCAAAAGACACACTAGAAACAACACCACCAAAACATCCCCTTCAGGGTGGTGTCAGGCTTGGGTGAACATAGAGCAGTGGAGGCTCCTCAGAGGAGGAAGGGGAGGACCACCCTCCTCAGTGAATTTCATTAAAAATAAAAACAGTGAAACATTAAAAAAGTATTCATTTTTAGACAAAACTATACTAAATATATTCACGTCACCAAATAATTGATTAAAACACTACAGTAGCCTCAACAGCACTCTGTAGGGTAGCACCATGGTGTAGCCAGAGGACAGCTAGCTTCCGTCCTCCTCTGGGTACATTGACTTCAATACAAAATCTAGGAGGCTCGTGGTTCTCACCCCAATCCATAGACTTACACAGTAATTATGACAACTTCCTCCAACCTATCAGAGCTCTTGCAGCATGAATTGACATCAAAGGATCAGATAATGAATCTAGAACTGAAAGCATAAGCTAAAGCTAGCTAGCACTGCATTGCATTAAATGTGATGAGTAGTTGACTCAAAGAGAGAGAAAGACAATTGTTGAACAGATTTTAACAAATTAATTTATTCAAAAAGATAGGAGAAGCAAGCGAGAGAGAGAGAGAGAGAGAGAGAGAGAGAGAGTTAGCTATATTTCATATTTTTTTCACTTTCACTTTCACTTACTTAGCTAGAAAATGCAGCTAGCTAGCTAGTTTAGCCTACTCAAACACCCAGCTCAAACAGAGGAGGATGCTATGTTACCTAGTTGGCTATAGCTATCCAACACTGGAACCCTTCCAAGTGAAGGTAAGCTTTTGGTTGTATTAATGTATTGCCACCGGGGCCCGCCGGTGTAACTGCTAAACTGCTTGCTAACTGTACACTGTACTTCATGATTGTAGCGGGTTTACTAATGCGTTAGTTCTAGTAGCTATGTTGTAGACTTGACGTTAGCTAATATGGTGACAACGGTGTAGGCTGTGTGTAGTGGTTAGCTTTTATGACATGAAGGTTTGGCTTGGAAAATATTTTTTGCCTGGTCATAGACAGCTGATGTGTTGTGCACTGAAGTCCATAAGCGAAGGGAAAAGGTGAGAGGAAGAGCGCGCGTAGATGTGAGAAGGAATTATGCAGCGATCTTTATACAACTATCTGGCTACTATGAAAGTGAACTGCTTTTGCAATGTGATCAGGGGTGTATTCATTCTGCCGATTCTGTTGAAAAACATTTCTTAAACGGAAGCAAACGAAACGAAACGGGGATAAACATACCTGAATTTGTCCAATAGTAACTCTCGTTTGCAACTTTTGGACTAATGGTTACACCCTAGATCAGCTAGATGCAGGCAAGAAAGTGCAAGGCGCTGTTGAATGTGTCAATGTCTGTCACCTTGATTACTCAAATTTCTCTCGACCTGCGCACCTACGTTGTAAACTTTAATTCATAGGCTAGGTTGTAGCAACCTCATGATGGGTATGGGGAAAATTTGAGTATCATGTAGTAAGTAGCCTAACCCTATCCATTTTACATTGATCTGGGTGAATGGAATATGAACGACAGTCATCCAATATGCTGTAATAGAAATCCGGCCGTGCTAATTAAAAATAAAAGGCACCGACCGCCACTGGCATAGAGAACACTGTCACTCTGTGATCAAAACTTCTAAAATGTAATAAGTGAAGAAGTAGCATGACACAATATAGAAAGAAACAGCAACAAAAATATACCCTCTATTGCATTACGTTCACATTCTACTGTCATGTATGTCATCAATTGTATCAACACCAATATAATTGATTGAACAAGGACATTGGTCAATGTACTAAACTGACCTGCATTATAGCAGACATAATTGAACTTGATTTCAGTGCGCTCAGAATCGCAATGTTCTGTCTGTAAAAATTTATTTATATAGCGTGTCTGTAAAGGAAACAGAAAGTTACAGTAAACACATCACCAATCAAGTCAGGTTGAGATATTACAGGTTTAGTAATGCCATCACGTTTGTGTCAAGAAAAACAATAGTAAATAGCATAATGTACAGATTTGATATTCATACTATCATATCAATGCCAGCCAACTGGGCAGTCTGAGAGAGGAGAGAAGATTGGGCCCGATCATGTACGTCTTGCGTTGCTTGTAGTGCTCTGAGATGTAGATCTTCTCGATGTGATTGTTGTTCTGGTTGTACTTCACCAGCACCCTGTCCTGGTTGCTGAGGAGATTGTCCTTGTCGTAGTACTGCCTCACTTCATAGGGCAGGTTCTCTGCACCGTGGGAATGGAGGTTACCGATGGTGTAGTAGGTGTACAGGTTCTGGTCTTTCAGTTTGGGGAGTAACAGTTTATAGTTCTTGAACATATGGAACCCGTATTCTCCCTCCCTTGGGTCACAGAGAGACACCATGTTGTTGTCGATGCAGGTCTGGACGTACCATAGGAGTAATTTGAGGCCGTGGCGAGGGGGCGGGGTCCCGAAGTTGGTCTTCTCCAGCTCTTCGGTCGTGTCCAATGTTCTCAAAGCCGAGGCCAGAGCGATGGCCAATAGCAGCAGCAGGATGCATCTCAGGACGCTGGTGTGATTGGCCATGCTGAACACCAATTAAGGGTTATCTATGAAAAGTGATTACATGTAAAAGATTATACATTCTTCCTAAACATAGCGACAAAATTATCATATATAAAATAGATAACATTTGATTATCGACAAAACTGTAGATATTTCCCAAATAATCTCCATCTGTTTTGATCTGGCACTAAAATGTATAAATTGCTCTAGTTCACTAGAATCTCCTTACCCTGCAATGTCGCTATAGGATGAGTCTGTAGGTTTAGCTTGCAGGTCTCTGCTCAAAGGCTGTGGTATAAGGCTGTGTTGGTTGCAGTGTAGCACCTGACCATTACTGTAGCAGAGTAAGACCGGGTTCTGTCATGAGTGTTTGAGGGAGGGCTCATGTATACAGCGGATGTATCTGCCTACTGTATGAGAAGCAGACCTGGGTTCAAATAATATTATGAAATCTTTCAGATATTATGAGAGTTTGCTTCAGCCTGCCTGGATTGCTGGATGAGCAGGGTTTGCACTTTTGCGACTACTCTATTGGTTCCATTGCGCCAGGCAAGCTCAATCAAGCACATCTAAAGTATTTTAAATGATTTCTAATAGCATTTGAACCCAGGTCTAATGAGAAGAGTTGAAAATGAAGAAATGAAAAACGAAGGTGAGAAAACAGCTGTGGTTTATAGATCAAGGTCAGGTACAGCATATACTGTATGTTTCTCACAGGATGCTGTGCCAATAGTTACAGAACTTCCTCTTTCACTTCTACTGATAAACATTCTCTATTTGAAATAACTCAATGGGTTAACGCAGAGAGAGAGAAGAGTACATGCAGAGTAGACTAGTGTGTATAATACTGTAGGCCTATGACTGTGTCCATAACAGTTATTTAAATAGATTAAATGAGTAAAAAGCCGTTCTGTGGATTACAGGTTTTCATGAGTGACATTTCATTCTGTTACTGTATAATCACTCCCATTCTCCAGGTGCCATACTGCATTTTGTCTAACACCTTCAAAGGCCTGGAGGAATTATAAACTACTGGCAAAGTACCATTCTACGGGATTAGAATTTACTTCATGAATATCACGTTTTATAGAGCCGCATGTTTGTATTTGTGCTTGTTTGCCTTGATAATAGGCCCCATAATTTGCATTTTATTTATTAATAAATAAACAAATGTGTTACTGTGGATAACAGTGAGACTGCACAACACATAACAACCTGGCTGCGAGTAGCATTCTACTTTCCCCTGGGGACAGAGAACATGACTGGGGTTGGTGAGTGAGCCTGTCTGTCTTTAAGCACCCACTGCACGCTGACCTGCATTGCCTTGTGTACTGGAGGCTACATACCGTCGCTTTGCAGACATTTGTATTACTATCTTGTTTACTTTATGAATAAAATATATTGTGTTTGTCTCTATTATCACATTTTGACACAGAGCTGAATGAATGTCCCACAGGGATGAAGGGAGAGTGTGAAGAAGGGAGAGGGAGAGGGGAGAGAGGGGAGAGAGGGAGAGAGAGAGATGTTCAGTATAGTAAACACTTGGAGCCCCTGAAAATGTGGCACAACATGCTCTCCTCTGTCCACTTATTCTGCCTTGCTCTGCCATATCAAAGCTTTCCCAACTTCATTATCAATAAATTATACTTTTAAATGATCCCAGCGGTACAAACAAGTGCTACTCTTAGAGAGAGGGTAGAGAGAGGGAGAGGGAGAAGGAGGAGGAGAGAGAGAAATAGAGAGAGAGAAAGGGAGAGAGAGAGAGAGAGAGAGAGAGAGAGAGAGAGAGAGAGAGAGAGAGAGAGAGAGAGAGAGAGAACAAGCGAGGGAGATGGACAGAGGGAGGCAAGGCATTAGGCATTCCATTTGCAAAGATTTAACAGCAAATTGTGTTTCTTTTTGCTGCATTTATTTCTTTATTTCTTTAACCATGTCCACGGGGGGCCAGTATGAAAAATGTATGCACTCACTAATTGTAAGTCGCTCTGGATAAGAGCGTCTGCTAAATGACTAAAATGTCAATTGGATCACGAAAAAAATGTCACCCTTCCGCTAGTGAAGGGGCCCGCACAGCTAATCTCCACGGCAACAGGCTACGCTGCTGCTCAGTGCTCTGCAGTGCTTAGAGCTGTCTTTGATTCAAATGGAATGTGTTCACGTGACTCCAGGCAGGGCCTACCTCTCTCCACTCTGCTAGGTTACATATCACTACACTGGATCAGCTGCGGTTCTCTGAAGGAGACAGCCAGGCAGGCTACAATAAGGAGATGTTCTGCTGTATTAACATGGTAAAACAGAGCTCTAAATGTTAGCATAGAATAACATAGTTACATGGTGTACTTTGTGATGATGTTATGTAACACGTTTGGTGCTGCTGTGTGAATGAATGTCAGGGCTTAGGGTGCTATAGTAGGCTCTCTCTACCAGTGTTAATCTCCTTTGACACAAACATGAAAGGGAACCAACGACTGATATCTTTACTGTGTTTATGGATGAGTTTTGATCTCTCTCTCTCTCTCTCTCTCTCTCTCTCTCTCTCTTTCTCTCTCTCTCTCTCTCTCGCTCTCTCTCTACTGTATGGCTTCCTTTTTTTCTTCTATCCTATTTCTCATATAGCCTATGAAATATATTATCCCCCCATTCTTCCATAGTTGAGGACATAGCAGATTATCAATAAATGGATGGCTAAAATGGATGGGTAGAGTGAGTGCAGACAAACCAGTGGAGATTGAAATATTCCACTTATGCAACCCTGGTGCAATTCATGCAAAGTGTATTGATTTAAACATCATGTACTGTACATGATTCTCTGTAAGGGTTGGGGTGAGGTGTGACCCAGGTGCGGTGCAGGATATACAGTAGGCAGTAGCGAGAGATGGTGAAACAAGGATCTTTACTGGTGGTCCCGAAGCCAAAAACGATGACAGAAAAGCCCTTGAACTGGAGCATTAAAACACATCTATTGATTAATGTTGATGTGCCTGAATCGAATACTTTCTATAGAAAATATGATAATGGAAAGCCTTGGTTTTTAATGTAAATACATGTATGCAGGAATGTAAAAAGCATCATCAATGTGAATCAGCCTCACCCTGTCAAATGATGGGTAAAGGCTGGGATTGTTTTTAATGTTTTTATTATAATTTACTCTCTCTACCTTCTATTCCATTTTCCATTAAGTATTATAATTCATGGACATTGGATGAGAGACTGAAAAATGTGTGTGTGTGTGTGTGTGTGTGTGTGTATGTGCATGTGTTTATGTGAGTGTGAGAGTGAGTGTGTATATGTTGTCAAAGGAGGAATCAAATGGCATTTTTTGTGTGTGAAACATTGGTTATGTGATTGGATTTTGCTTCTACACAACCCATTCACCCTGAGGCCCATGTTTCACTCAGGATACCTGACTATGTGACCAGAAAGCATAAGGTGAATAAATGTAGGTGATTCTGAAACCCTTTCTTCCATAACCTTTTTAGTGAACATCAATTGATTGTCCAAATCACCAAATATTTGAATGAGAGTGAGAGAGAGAGTGAGAGAGAGAGAGAGAGAGAGAGAGAGAGAGAGAGGGGGAGAGAGAGCGAGAGAGAGAGAGAGAGGGAGAGAGAGCGAGAGAGAGAGAGAGGGAGAGAGAGCGAGAGAGAGAAAGAGAGAGAGAGAGAGAGAGCTGTGAGAGGTTCACAGTCAGACGAGGCATAGGCACAAAGGTGTATCTGTGCTTTTGAGTTCCTCTGTTGAGAGTCTGCATCGAGTCAGATTGGTTGTAAAACCTCCCCTATAAGAGAGTGTGACACTTCTATTGAGAGTCTGCCAAGCACCCCGAAGGCTCTCTCTGCACCTAATCCCTTCTCTGCACCCCGGGGCTCTCTCTGTATCTCATTCCTTCAAATCAAATCAAATCAAATTTGTTTTGCCACATGCACCGAATACAACCTTACAGTGAAATGCTTACTTACAAGCCCTTAACCAACAATGCAGTTTTAAGAAAAAAAAGTAAAAAATGGATGAGCAAAAAATAAAAGAGGGGGTGGGGTGCGGTGGGGTGCGGGGGACAATGCAAATAGTCTGGGTAGCCATGATTAGCTGTTCAGGAGTCTTATGGCTTGGGGGTAGAAGCTGTTAAGAAACCTTTTGGACCTAGACTTGGCGCTCCGGTACCGCATGCCGTGCGGTAGCAGAGAGAACAGTCTATGACAAGGGTGGTTGGAGTCTTTGACAATTTTTAGGGCCTTCCTCTGACACCACCTGGTATAGAGGTCCTGGATGGCAGGAAGCTTGGCCCCAGAGGTGTACTGGGCCGTACGCACTACCCTCTGTAGTGCCTTACGGTCGGAGGCCGAGCAGTTGCCATACCAGGCGGTGATGCAACCAGTCAGGATGCTCTCGATGGTGCAGCTGTATAACTGTTTAAGGATCGGAGGACCCATGCCAAATCTTTTCAGTCTCCTGAGGGGGAATAGGTTTTGCTGTGTCCTCTCCACGACTGTCTTGGTGTGTTTGGACCATGATAGTTTGTTGGTGATGTGGGCACCAAGGAAGTTGAAGCTCTCAACCTGTTTCACTACAGCCCCCGTCGATGAGAATGGGGGCGTGCTCAGTCCCCTTTTTTTACCTGTAGTCCACAATCATCTCCTTTGTCTTGATCACGTTGAGGGAGAGGTTGTTATCCTGGCACCACACGGCCAGGTCTCTGACCTCCTCCCTATAGGCTGTCTCATCGTTGTCGGTGATCAGGCCTACCACTGTTGTGTCGTCGGCAAACTTAATGATAGTGTTGGAGTCGTGCCTGGCCATGCAGTCATGTGTGAGCAGGGAGTACAGGAGGGGACTGAGCACGCACCCCTGAGGGGCCCCCGTGTTGAGAATCAGCGTGGCAAGTCAGGAAGTCCAGGATCCAGTTGCAGAGGGAGGTGTTTAGTCCCAGGGTCCTTAGCTTAGTGATGAGCTTTGAGGGCACTATGGTGTTGAACGCTGAGCGGTAGTCAATGAATAGCATTCTCACGTAGGCGTTCCTCTTGTCCAGGTGGCAAAGGGCAGTGTGGAGTGCAATAGAGATTGCATCATCTGTGGATATGTTGGGGTGGTATGCAAATTGGAGTGGGTCTAGGGTTTCTGGGATAATGGTGTTGATGTGAGCCATGACCAGCCTTTCAAAGCACTTCATGGCTACAGACGTGAGTGCTACGGGTAGGCAGTCATTTATGCAGTTTATCTTAGTGTCCTTGGGCACAGGGACTATGGTGGTCTGCTTGAAACATGTTGATATTACAGACTCAGTCAGGGACATTTTGAAAATGTCAGCGCATACTCGGAGTACACGTCCTGGTAATCCGTCTGGCCCTCCGGCCTTGTGAATGTTGACCTGCTTAAAAGTCTTCCTCACATCCGCTACATAGAGCGTGATCACAAAGTCATCCGGAACAGCTGATGCTCTTTTGCATGCTTCTGTATTGCTTGCCTCGAAGCGAGCATAGAAGTGATTTAGCTAATCTGGTAGGCGTGTGTCACTGGGCAGCTCGCGGCTGTGCTTCCCTTTGTAGTCTGCAATAGTTTTCAAGCCCTGCCACATCCGACGAGCGTCGGAGCCAATGTAGTACGATTCAATCTTAGTCCTGTATTGACTCTTTGCCTGTTTGATGGTTCGTCAGAGGGCATAGGGGAGTTCTTATAAGCATCCGGGTTAGAGTCCCGCTCCTTGAAAGCGGCAGCTCTACCCTTTAGCTCAGTGCGGATGTTGCCTGTAATCCATTGCTTCTGGATGGGGTATGTACGTACGGTCACTATGGGGACGACGTCATCGATGCACTTATTGATGAAGCCAGTGACTGATGTGGTGTACTCCTCATTGCTATCGGAAGAATCCCAGAACATATTCCAGTCTGTGCTAGCAAAACGGTCCTGTAGCTTAGCATCTGCGTCATCTGACCACTTCATTATTAACCGAGTCACTGGTGCTTCCTGCTTCAGATTTTGCTTGTATGCAGGAATCAGGAGGATAGAGTTATGGTCAGATTTGCCAAATGAAGGGCGAGGGAGAGCTTTGTACGCATCTCTGTGTGTGGAGTAAAGGTGGTCTAGAGTTTTTTTCCCTCATTTAACATGCTGGTAGAAATTAGGTAGAACAGATTTAAGTTTCCCTGCATTAAAGTCCCTGGCCACTAGGAGCGCTGTCTCTGGATTTCCTGTTTGCTTATGGCCTTATACAGCTCATTGAGTGCAATCTTAGTGCCAGCATCGGTTTGTGGTGGTAAATAGACAATTACGAAAAATATAGAAGAAAACTCTCTTGGTAAATAGTGTGGTCTACAGCTTATCAT